CCTCATCTCGAACGGCTACCACTTCCTCAGCCAAATTTTTCGCTGCCATACTGGTTTGCTGGCCTCTAGGCAGTTTCACCAAATCTACAACATGGTTAGGTATAGCAGTATAAACAATGGAAAATGGAGACTTCCCAGTAGCGCTATGGACTGCACTGTTGTATGCAAACTCCACCTGCGGTAATGCATAATCCCATTGTTTCGGCTTCTCTCCACAGACGCTTCGCACCATATTGCCCAATGTCCGGTTTGTAACCTCAGTCTGGCCATCAGTTTGGGGATGGGCAGTGCTGCTACGATTCAAAGTAGTCCCAAACAGTCTCCACAAAGTGATCCAAAAATGACTCAAGAACTTGGTGTCACGATCAGATGTAATGGATGTAGGAACCCCATGCAAGCGAACAACCTCCCTGAAAAACAGTTTGGCTATATTTGATGCATCGGCAGTCTTTTTGCAGGCTATGAAATGCGCCATTTTTGAGAACCGATCAACCACCACAAATACAGAGTCCACTCCCCTTTGTGTTCGGGGCAATCCGAGGACAAAATCCATAGCAAGATCCTGCCAAATATCGTTAGGAACTGGTAATGGCATATATAATCCAGTGTTTTGTACCTGCCCCTTCGAAGTTTGACAAATGTAGCACTTGCGCACAATAGTTCCAACATCACGTTTGAGCTGTGGCCAGTAAAATCTATCCTCCAACAATGCAATTGTTTTGTCACGGCCTAGGTGGCCACTCAACCCTCCACCATGCAAGTCCCGAATGAGCTTCTCCCTCAAAGAAGAAACTGGAATACACAGCTGGTTGCCTTTGAACAAATAACCTTCATTGAGAAAGTAATCTGCCATTGGCTCTTGATTAGTGCACTTAATCCAAATTTCCCGGAAATCATTGTCACCTGCATATAATTCCTTCAGACATTCAAACCCCACAACTTCTTGAGTCAGCGTGACTAATAATGAAGCTCTCCTACTCAGCGCATCTGCCACACGATTGGTCTTGCCGGAAGTATGCTTGATAACGAACGAAAATTTCTGCAAAAAAGTCATCCATCTAGCATGCATTTTATCAATATTTTTCTGGCTGTTAATATACTTCAACGCTTGATGATCTGTAAACAAAACAAATTCCTTCTGGATAAGATAGTGCTCCCATTGCTTCAAAGCTCGAACAACCGCATAGAACTCTTGGTCATAAGTACTCCACTTTTGACGTGCATCGCTCAACTTTTCAGAAAAGAACGCAATTGGCCGCTTGTCTTGTGAGAGCACAGCTCCGACTCCCACACCGCTGGCATCACATTCAACTTCGAAAACTTTCTCAAAGTTTGGAAGAGCTAGAACCGGTGCGGTGCAAAGCTTTTCTTTTATTTCTGCAAAGCTTCTTTCTTGCTCCTCTCCCCAGCTGAACCGGCCCTTCTTCAAACATTCTGTGATAGGTGCAGCAACGGTGCTAAAATGCTTCACAAATCTTCTGTAAAAGGTGGCCAAGCCATGGAAGCTTCGAACTTCAGAAACTGTCTTTGGAGCTGGCCAATCAAGGATTGCCTTGATCTTCTCGTCATCTACCTGGATACCATTCTCACCAACAACAAAACCCAAGAACAGTAGCTTATTTGTGCAGAAAGTACATTTTTTAAGGTTCACATACAACTTATTTTCTCTCAACACATCTAAAACTTGTCTCAAATGCACAAGATGTTCTTCTTTTGTGGTACTATAAATTAAAATGTCATCGAAATAAACAACGACAAAAGAACCAATGAATGGTCGAAGAACCTGATTCATGAGCCGCATGAAAGTGCTAGGTGCATTTGACAATCCGAATGGCATCACCAACCATTCAAATAATCCGTCCTTGCTCTTGAACGCTGTTTTCCATTCGTCTCCAGGTCGTATGCGAATCGGATGCGAATCTGGTACACATTAGCCAAGTTTTGTCTTTCTTTGGAACCAACAAAACAGGAACTGCGCAGGGACTCAAACTCTCCCGGATAAATCCTTTCCGCAATAATTATTCAATCTGTTCTCTCAGGATGTCATTCTCCTTGGGGCTCATCCGATAATGAGGCAGATTCGGAAGGCTTGCTCCAGGCACCAAGTCGATTCGGTGCTATATGTCCCGCATAGGAGGCAGCTCGTTTGGCAGATTTTCAGAAAGTAGTTCCTGAAATTGATTCAAAATCTGCTGCACATCTTGTGGAATGTCACCTTCTCCTCCGCCAATTTTCAACAACCCCTTCAACACCAAGGGACAAAAACACTCCGCTTCTTTGACAGCCTCGTTCAACTCCTGCTCGCTGTGAATTAGGGTTAGAAAACTAGAACTCCTCGTCTTGGGCTCAACAGATTGCTTTGCGGGCTGTGTGGTTGCCATTGCAATTTTCCGGTTGTTCCAAGAGAACAGAATTACATTATCTCGTCCCTTGAAAGTTGCATCCACATCAAATTGCCAAGGTCGCCCTAACAAAATATGGCATGCATCCATGTCAATAACATCACATAATATTTCATCTCTGTAATGCTTACCAATTGACAGTGGCACTCG